ATGGTATTTTGTTAGAGCAGTCTGAACAGGTCTCCAACAACAGCTCCCAACTTCTGAATGCTCCTTGCTTTGGCTGGGCAATTTCCCTTTGAGGAAATTGCTTCCGTTTTTTTGAAACAGGGTCTCATGTATCCCAGGCTGGTCTCCAATTGGACATGTAGTCAAAGATGACCTTAAACTTCTGCTCCTCCTGGCTTTGTGTGCCAACTCCTAGGACTGTAAATGTGTACCACCAGCCCTGGCTCTCTGGTGCGTCTTGTCTTTTAATGTTCTTATTTATACATTTATTTGCTTACACATTTATTTATGTGTTTGTTTATTTGGTGTGCGTGCATGGACACATGCACATCGACTCCTGAGTTTTTTCCTTCTGTCTCCAGGACTGTCCCACACACTTGCAGGGTCCTACCATAGTCCTAGTTCCCCTGAATGAAATACACTTGCTTACTTTGTCCTGAGTCAGGATGTCACTCCTGGCCTTTAGTCTCTGAGGTCCTTGACCTGGCATATGCTTCCTGGTCACAGCCTTGCTTCTTCTGTCCCCTCAAACTCATGGGTTGAAATGAACACACTGGTGTGCGTGCGTGCGTGCGTGCGTGCGTGCGTGCGTGCGTGCGTGCGTGCGTGCGTGTGTGTGTGTTTGGGTGGGTGGGTGTTTGTAAAGGTCAGGGGATAACCTCTGGTTCTGGTCATTCTCAAGAGAACCATTTGCTTCCTTTGCCATAGGGTCTCTCCTTAGCCTGGAGCTCACCAGTTAGGGCAGACAGGCTGGACGGTGAGCCCCAGGAACCCGCTTGTCTAGGCCTCCCTGAAATAACTGTGTTTCATCCATCAATATAATGATGTTAAGCCAAGTCAGGTGGCACATGCCTTTAAATCCAGCACACAGAAGACAAAGACAGGTGGATCTCTGTGAGTTCTAGGCCAGCCTGGTTTACATAGTGAATTCCAGGCCAGGCCAGGCCAGGACTATACAGTAAGACCTGTGTCAAACAAAAACAAATAAACAAAAAGACGACGGTGACGACGACATTAGGCTGGTTTATTTCACTTCCGGTCATGCGGTTTGTTATAGGTATCCTCCCTCAACTATTTAATACCAGGATTAAATAATTTTATTTGGAGTTAGTTTTTGAGTTTTCTGCCCATCGCCGTGAAACCATCACAAATGTTTAAATCAACTGTGACCCCTGGGTCTTTTCAAATGTCCTATAAAGAACACACCCACAAAGATTCAGCTGGCTCACAGCTAGAAATGACAATAAAGGACTCTTGCAACTTGATCTTCAACCTAGTACCAAGCTTCCCTCTCCTCTACCAGTAGGTGGGGCCCCAGAGCCAGGACAAGAGCGAAAGTAACTTGTGGGAGACTACCTGAGGCTTCCTCAGGGGGAAAACGGCCCAGATATTATGGTCGGTGCAGAGAGACACACAAGCAAATCTAAGAAACTACTGCTGTCTTGAAGGAGATCAACGAGAAGCAGGAAGTCTGTGGCTTCAACAGACCTACAGTTTCTATCGGGAACCGGGTCCTTCTGAGAACGCTAGACTTTGCAGAGTCAGTTTAGGCCTACAGCTTATGGCCTCCTCTTTTAATTTTTAAACCACATTTATTTGTGTGTGCAAATGTGCTTGCACGTGTGCTGTGAATCTCTCCCAAACCTATCACTGGTGATCTATAAGGAATGTGTTCAAATAAGGTTTGAATGTATCTGAATGACTTCTCTATACGTTTATTCTTTGATCTAACCCAAAGAAACTCGAGCAAGTCTCAGTTATTCCCATGAGTTTTAGAAGCCTCAGGTATTAGATGAAATTTAATAACTTGGAAGAACGTAAATAGAATTTTGGGTAGTTAGATTAGATTAATAGGATTTTT